GCTGCTCCGCCTCTCTCGCCTCCGCCTCGCCTCGCTGCGCCGCGGGACGGAGGCAGCCGCTGGCGGGGCTGGGAGCGGTGCCCTGCCATGGGACGGTGCCGGCACACCCCCCTGAGGACGGGGACGGGACTCTTGGTGTCCCATGGGGTGGCACTTTGCTCTGCTGGGTACGAGAACGGGACGGGGATGGTGGCAGTGTCCTGCCGTCAGGCAGTCCCTACCTGTCTGTGGAATAGTGGCATCACATCCCCCTGGGGACAGCGACACAAACGTGCCCCACAGTCCCCGCGGGCGGGCAGTGCCCCTGTCCCTGTCACAGCTGAATCGCTCCTGGCATCATCGCTGGGCTGTGCCAGGGACTCACTCCCACCCCAAACCCCACTGCCCGGGCACCCGGTGCTCGTCCTGGGCCCCGACAGCAGCATAGTGCCTGGCACCACACACGTGCAGCTCCGTGGCTGGTGTGCTGTCCCCTTGGTGGCAGTTGTGACAACTCCAACGGACAGCATTTAGCTGCTCTCTAGGAAGCCATAAACAAGGTCTGGCCTCGTGCCCAGCACAGCATAGCTCCGCGTTGTTCTCAGATGTGGCTTTTCCCCCCACCCCCTGACCTGTTTCCAAGAAATGTGGCTGAGCTTGCTGGAGGGATCTTGCCAGCGTTTGTTTGTGTGGTGGCTGCTTCCCAGGTCTAAGAAAGCATCCTGGCCAAAGCCTAGGAGCTGCTCCACAGTGGGAGACAGCCCGTGCCAGGAACAGACAAGGAGGCAGTCAAAGCAGAGCAGCTTAGGATGGCCCAAGACACACAAGGAGAGAGAGAGAGACAGGCAAAAAAAACTTTGAGGGTATGCAGAACAGCTTCTTGCAACCACGAGTTTATGATCAGATGCTTTCCTTACTAAGGACTCTTCTGCAAAAGCTGCCACAGCTCCCAGGAAAAGCAGCTTCCCAAGCAGGCGTAGACACAAGCTGTTCTGAGAATTAATGCCACCAGCAGCCAGTTAGAGATTCAGAACTAATTCAAAGCAGGTTCAAAGCAGGGATGAAGCCAGGACTTCAATTTGGAAAAACCTGTAATAAAGGAGCAGTGGAAAGAAAGTATGGAGGCGATGAAGGGAATGAGAAGTCATGAAAGGGATTTCTGACAGGCTGATGGCTGAGTCAGCTGAGCAAAGCAGTGCAGAACACTGAAAGGCTGAGAGAGCCTGGACAAGAGAAGGCTCCAGGAAGGCTTAGTGGAAACAGTACCTGAAGTTGACCTACAAAAAGCTGAACAGAGATTATGGACAAAGGCCTGGAGTGATAGAAAAAGGGGGAATGGCTTCCCACTGCCAGAGGGAAGGGTTAGGTGGCATAGGAGGAAGAAATTGTTCTCTTTGAGGTTGGTGAGGCCCTGGCACAGGGTGCCCAGAGCAGCTGTGGCTGTCCCTGGATCCCTGGAAGTGTCCAAGGCCAGGCTGGATGGGGCTTGGAACAGCCTGGGATAGTGGAAGGTGTCCCTGCCCATGGCAGTGGTGGCACTGGATAGGTTTTAGTCCCTTTGAGCTGAAGCCATTCTGTGACTCTATGACTCCTCAGGTATCTCAGATGTGAATTTGAGTGAATAAGTATCTGTAAATTTGAGTAAGACTCAGCACTGGAAACAGAAGGTGGCAAATGTTGCTACAAAGGAAGTTCTGCAGAAGTTAGTTAATCTGTGTTCCAAGCCAATACAAAACATGGGAGTCACATACCTTGAGAAATTATGTATTTTTTTGGCACAAGGACTCACAAGGGACTTTTTGAAGGAAGTCACAGCCTACAAGTTTATTTGGGTTCTCTGAGGGAGTCTCAGTAGATGTGTGGACACGGGTGTCTGGTGCTGCACTACATAAGATTCTAAAATGCTTTTGACCTAGTTTAGGTGCTCACTGTCTCCAGCCCGGGCAAATTGCTCAGAGAGACAGCAGCACAGGGAGTTAGTACAAGATGTTTGGTGTGTAAGAAACAGGGTATCTAAAGAGCTGGACTGAGAACTTTCATTCTGAGAAATGCTGTGAATCTAAACCAGGACTAGTGACCAAGGTGAAAGGCTGAAGGGAATTACTTGAGAGGCAGCACATGAGAAAGAGGGCCAAGGCAAAGCGGGACAGTTGTCAGACAACACAAAACTTAGAGCAAGAAACAGAGAATGCCAGAGAGACACTGAGAGCATCAGACAGGCCAGGTCCACATGGCAGCAGCACACCAATCAAACACACATTTCCCCAGAGGTATTTAGCAATGCAAAAGGACTCACCACTTTCATAGAGAAATGAAAACATAAAACTCAGGTCTGAGACCACTGGGGGAAACTCCAGAGGGTGGGGAAGCACAGCCCAACTGGACTGTGATCCACCAGCTGTGGCAGTCACATGGTCATATGGTGGTATTTTGGCAGGGAGCAAAGAGTTTCATGGGAGGAGCTGGAAGAGGGCCCTGTGCTGCATCTGCAGACCTGTGGGGAGGATTTTCCCAGGGATATGACGCGTTGCAAGCAAAAGTGCAGAGATATTTATTGGAAATCTGGACAAAAGACGGGGAGGCCAACTGTCCACAGATCAGCATGCTGTAGGTTAACTCGGGGTGATGTGCTGGGTGAGGCACTGAGGAGGGGCTGTGAAAGGATAGGCCAGAGTGGATGAAGTCATTGAGAAAAAAGCTTTGGATGAATTCTTTGTGAATACTGTATTTGGGAGGGAAAGCTGGAGCTGCAGGAAAATACAATGAGATACAGACATGGGCGGATGTGCGAGTGTAAAGAGAGGACTGTGCTGGACACAGGCCCAGGGCTCAGGCTGGAGTGGCAGGAAAATTCATAGGGTTGTTAATAGTGACTGAAGTGGCCTGGTGGATTTTTCAGAAAGGAGCAATAGGACAAAAAAATCCAAAGGACCTTGGCATTTTTTACTGTTTTACCAGCTGGACACAAAGACTAACTGTGCTACATGCAACAAATCTGTCTGATCTGAGAGTTTCTAAAAGAAAATTACCTCCTGACTTCCTGCTCTGGGTGGATTACTAAACTACTTAAGTAGAAACCATTTATTCTTGCATTCTGCTGTTTTTTCTTTCCCTCAAAAACTTACCTGGGGGTCCCCGCTGGCTTTTCGGAGGCTCATATGACCTGAGTCGAGCTGGTGTACTGGGGAGCCAGAGATGTAGTAGCCATTCACTGTAAGAAGAGATGGAGATTTAGCAGGCTTGCTGCTGATAGCAAATGAAAAACAGCACAAATTTAACAACTAATCCCATAACTGAATATGAAGATACAGATCAGTGTTTTAAGACTTAGTTGTATTTCTCATTACCCTTCTGTGATTTGACTGGTAATAGATTGAACATCTTCCTGAGTGGAGTCTGTTTTGCCCATGACCATAATGAGTGATCTCACCCTGCCCTTATCCCAACCCAAGAGCATTTTGTTGTAGTATTCACCCCCATTCACCTGAGGAGGAGAGTGGCAGTGTGGCTTGCTGGACCTGTCATCCATTAAAAGTACTGGTCCAAGGGAGTTGAGTTTTGATGTTAAGAAATGTGCAAGCCTTGATATAGTTCCTGCATAGAACTATAAATAGCCTTTTTTTTTTTTTTTTTTAATATACTGAGCAAGGAATAATGCTTAAAGTAGTGTTAAAACAAGATACTCAACTACATTATAAATCCTTTGGTCACAATGAAATACACAATCCTTGCACAGACCACCCACCCAGTTCTGCCAATAAACTGCCAATAAAGAGATGTTTTCTAAGGAAAACATCCTCTAGCCTGCTTTATTTACAGTCAGCTGGCAGCAATGGCCTTCACATTTAACACTTTTTATTCTAGAGTAATTTTTGCTTTATTTTGTCACTCTGCAGTACCCAAGAGCTTTTCAGTACAGTTACACATCTGACTCTGTTACTTGATTCCCTGCAACCTCAAGCCAAGACAGAGATTATATATATATGATCACCCCTGTAGCCATCACATGCTAAAACTCTTTTCTGTGCTTATGCTCTGCATGGAAGAGCATCAGCCAGCCCATGTGTGTCTGCAGCTCTTTAATTTCCCTGCCCTGTCAGAAAGCAGAACTGAGGAAGTGCTTGTTGGGCCCCTCTCTGCCTCTGTGCTCCCAGAAGGAGCCACCCCAGCTCCTGAGTGGACGCTTTAGACACCCAGACAGAAGATGGATGGGCTGGCAGGGAAGAAACAGTCCAGAAGATGTGTCAGGAGGGAAAGCCCCACCATGTTTGCTCTGCTACACTCTCATGACTGTGTAGCCTGGAGAAGAGAAGGGTCTGGGGCAACCTTAGAGCCCCTCACAGGGTCTAACAGGGATACAGGAGAGATAGAAAGGGACATTAGGCAAGAGTCTGGAGTGACAGGACAAGGGGCAATGGGTTTAGGCTGTGGGAGGGTAGACTGAGATCTGAGATTAAGAGAAAATCTGTGAGGGTGGTGAGCCCTGGCACAGGGTGCCCAGAGCAGCTGTGGCTGCTCCTGGATCCTTGGAAGTGTCCAAGGACAGGGCTTGGAGCACATTCCATAACCTGGGATAGTAGAAGGTGTTCCCACCCATGGCAGGCAGGTGGAACGAGATGATCTTTAAGGTCCCCTCCAACCTGAACCATTCCGTGATTCTATGTGTACATCAACTCTCTGTCCCACTGTATGACACCACGTTCCTTTGCTTTGCTGAATGGTGGAGAAGCAGATTCAGGCAGTGCAGTCAGGCACAGCATCAAACAGTACCTGCAGAACTCTTCTGTGACACAGGGCTCTTTGGAGTGCCAGGCACGCTGCTCGGCCGCTCCCACGTCGTTTCTGTTGAAGGGAAACACCAGTGTGAGGGTGATGGAGGCTTTTGCACATATAGCAGAGTTATGACTAGTACACATAAACCAGGCTCTGACCCTCACTGGCCTTTGAACCGAGCTCTCACCCTGTGAGGAAGATGCCTGCACCTGCTTGCACTTCCTCTCTCCCCTCACATCTTCCTGCTACAGCTGCCAGCTGGGATGGGTGGAGGCAGCAGGCTGGAAGCTGCATCACTGGTTCTTCCAGATCAGTGCCTGGGAGCACTCAGCTGGCCTGCAGTGACTGCCTTTCCAGGTGCATTGAAACCCTTGCCAGCCGTGGTCCTCAGCCTGGGGACAGGCACCAAGCAGTGGCAGCGCCTCTGCCCCTGCTCTGTCCACAAAAGGCAGCTGTGAGTGCCTCACAGATGTGGTTCCAGCCACATATGCACAAGCTGTAGCACCTTTTTTCCCCAAAAAAATTATTTCCCTGGAAAATTTCCTTTTTTCCACTCAGGTCACTTAGCAGCTGGAATCTGCAAATGTTTGTCACAGCAGTTGTGACACTCCAAAGACTGATTCTGCTTCCCTCCCTTCAGCTGCCTCTGTAGTTTAACCATTCTGCTCATTTTCTCAGCAAATGGAAAATTGTTTTTGACCACATGCTGAAGACAGAAGATTTAAGTGCAAAACTTTTTAGAAGTTGTAAACAGAAGACAGTGGAGTGAGAGCAGCAACTTCCACAGAAGTCCAGCTAGAAAGCCCAAGGAACCATTCCTTTCGAATGCACATGTCAGTTCCAAATCAACTAAACAGCACTGATTGCCAGATGGTATCAAATAAGAAAATAAACAAGTCACTTTCATCAAATCTAAGGACTACTTAGCTGCTTCATTTGAAACTGCTGTTTCCCAAATCCCAACCAACAACCATCCAATCCTGCCAAAACCTGAAATCCTGCATCTGTGTCAGTATTCTGGATGGCCATGGTCAAGTGGTGATGGAGGAGGGCCCTTGAGGATTAACAGTTTAGGTTTGGCAATGAACACCTCCCTCAGGGCACATAAGGCCTCCTGTCCTCGGTCAGTGCTTATTTGGGCATCAAACCCAAGAGGTTAACATGCTTAAGAACCATAAAAGACCTATTTATATATATATATATATATATATATTTTCATGCACATATGTATATGCACACATGTATCTATATGCATATGTATATACACATATATATGCACAGAGATGTCCTCAAGGGTTGTGTTAGGTTCCTTATTTCAGGAAAGGACTCAGGATTACAGATCCCAAATGGAAGCAGGTGCCACCTCCCACACCTGTAATGTCCCAGAGATTACAGAATGTCCCTGCTCCTCCCAACCTTCCCCTCTCACCCCCTCCCTGAAACACAGCGTGCTTTTGCTTCCAAAGAAAAATACTTCGAGTTTTTTCTTCCCTTAAGTGCAAAACCTGATGAACTAGAAGCTTTGCTGAGTCACAGGGGAATATTTAAATTTTAGCCTGTTTTTGTGAACTGGGCAGTAAGTAAATAAATTCCACACTAGGTCAATAAAGAAGCACTGAGAAGTGTCTTAACTAAACAGAAGTCAAATCAAATGCAAAGAGTTGTCTTTTATGAGTCAGCTTGGTTTGGCTTACAGTCCACAAGTGCATAGTTAAATAAAGACAAATTCTAATTTACATTTACTATAAGGCAAAGACAAACAATACAGTACCCACGTGTCTTGTAGATTTTTTTTTTTAATTTTTAAATTGTTTATTAATTAATAATGTGAGTTGAGATCTGTGAGAAGGGAATTTGATGCCCACTGATGCTGAGCCCCAGTGCAGTGATTTTTTTTTGCCAGCACTGACTTTAATGTTAGGAGTAAAGCAAATTACCTTCATGTTTGGCTTGGGGGTTTCACACAAGCCTATCTACCTCCAGCATTTTTGAGACCCTATAGAGGAATGCACCTAAAAACCTACCAAATATATGTATGAAATGTAATTAATTGGTTAAAGAGATGTAGCTCAGTTGGCCACAGCATGATGCTAACATGAGGGTTTGATCCCTCTATGGGCCATTCACTCAAGAGTTGGACTCAATCCTTGTGGGCCCCTTCCAGCTTAGAATTTTGTGTGATTCTGTGAAAATTACCAGCTGCTTCTTGTAACTGGTCTCTGCTTTGCCTGCTGGCTGTTGTGGAGCTGCTGTGCAGTGCCTCATTCTTCCCCTCTGCCACACAGAGCACCCAGACACATAACTTGAGGGCAGAAAATTCACACATGAAAGAGCAGTGCCCAGTGGTAAGCAGATTTGTGAATCCAATTTAAAACATTCAGTGTCTTGACAAATTTTCCAAAATAAAATGACTTTGGAGTTAAGCACATTGAAAAATAAAATTAAAAAAAAATCCACAAAACAATGCTATAAAATGCATTAAATAGAAAAAGCATATTTAATTGGTTAGGAAATAAACAAGAATGTTTTAATTCTATTTATTTTGAGCATTAGGAGAAAAAAAAAGTCCACTTCTGTGCAGGGATTATTCTGGCAGCTCAGTAGGGATGGGGACTAATCTGGATCAGAACTGCACTGCTGGAATGCCATCTACTGGAAGCAACTACATTTACAAAGGTAAAACTGTGACATAAATTTCTCTGCAGCTTAGTCATGATTAGAAATGAGAGTGGGGATTAGAAGTGAGTGGGGGGATGACTTTTTTTTGCAGAGACACAGAGAAGGCTTGTTGAGAGATAATGCACTGTCTGATCCAGTAAAAGGCAGAGTCTTGTCTGGGAGCACCACACAGAGCCTTCAATCCTGGTGCTTGGAAAATCAGAAGGCCACTTGTAACTCTGTGGTAAAAGAGTGATCATGGATTTTAGGAATAGATTCCATATTGGCCTGGATTTTATATCCCACACAGTTTTCCCCAGAGGATGTTCCAGTCAAGCTAAAGCCTCATACTCCAGGTGCAATTTAGCACAGGCAGACCAACACCAACAAGTTCTGTCCTCCCTTACCAGCCACATGTTAATTAGACCAATTAGGCAGTGTGGGAAGGAATAACCAGTAGTTTCTTTGAGAGAGATGACCCAGCAGACAATTGCAGACAATTCTTGACTGTGAAGGAGGATTGTGAACAAAAAGAAGTACTGCAGCCTTGGGAGATACCCAAGGCCAGGGCTAGGAGCCATCTGGTCTGGTGGAACATGTCTGCCCCCAGCAGGAGCTGGCACAAGATCCCTTCCAATCCAAACCATTCCATGGTTCTGTGGAATTTAGTTAGTGAACAGCAAGGCAGGAGAAAACCACTTGTTAAAACTGAAATGACATAGTAAAAGGAAAAACAGTTCAAAGATCCGAGCTCTACTGGCCAACGGAACCTGAGAGGGTTTTCACAGAAATGGTGAAACATTTCCTACCAGAGGAAAAGTGGAAACCTGTGGTGTTTGTGGGAAGCAAGTTCACTTCTGTTTGGCAGAATAAGAAATTACATGATGTGTCAGAGAGCCACACACTCTGGGATGTTGTGTTAGTCAAGAAACACAGCTTCTGAGAATATCCTGAAGTGGATGATTTGTGTGGTCACACTGTGGCAGCTGAAGAATTGTTGGTCCCTCTTCCATGAATTCAGTAGCACTCTAAGGTCAAAGGAGCTGCTCTCCAGTTTGAACATATATCAGCCAAAAGTCAAGGCTTTATGTACCAGCACAATCCCTCACAAATGTGCTTATATTCCTTTCAGGAATGCACTTAGTACCTCAGCATGGTGTCATGTGTAGTTCTATTTTTGGAACTAAGTGCTCCAAAGTTTCATTCTCTCATCTACAAGAATGGGGCAGATCAAGCCAGTGGACCTCTGGGTCTGCTTACTGTGCAGAACCCTCTCCTGGTCTTAAAGATCTGTAGCCCCTGTCCTTTGTTACCCAGCTACTGGTGCCAACTCACATCTTTAAAAATAGGTTTGGAGTTTATTTTGGCTTTAACAGCAATAAACCTGTGATGCTGAGCAGCTCCAAACCCAGTTTCTGCCCTGAATAACCTGAAGCTGTGCAGGCTGCACAGGCCAAGAATGAAGATGCAAAGGCAGGGAGGAAGAACAGCAACAGAACATGTCCCCCCTCAATGCCACAAGAAGAAACACTGAAAACTTCTAAACTGCTCCTGCAAACAAGCAGGCCTAGAAGTCACATCTGCAAAAGGGTAGAACAGGCCTACACAGTTTTAACTCCTCCCTTGCAAACACTTTGCAAACCTTCCACAGCTCTTCTGTGCTTCTCCACTGCATCTCCACAGGCTCTCAGCAAGATTTGTGGCAGGTCCATGGCTCCCCAAAGAGTAAAGATTGGTTGGCCCTATGACTCAGAGAGAGGGCAATCAGCCCTGCTTAGAAAACAGGTTTTCTTTAATAGCACTCCCAGCCAAAACCTCCTCTGCCTGGAGCCACCACGCTCTGAACCTTGCCTCACCAGCCAGGAGCAGAGAACTGTCAGGGCTGTCACACCTCATGTCCCATTTCTGGCTAAGATCTTCCCCCCATTTGTGATGAACTGGCAAAGTTTTCATAGCACTTCATTTCTTGGTACTGTGTGGGGTAGAAAAAAGCCCGAAGGAATGGCCAAGGGAGTGTGGGGGTTTGGGCATGTAAGGAGGGAACAAAACTCACAATGCCCTGAGACTGGTGGGAACCATCAGAACTTTTGAAGTAGAAGGAGTGGATGGATGAAAGTGCAATGAAAATATTTTTCCCTTCTGTTCCACAAAGGATGTGCAGTACAAGATTGTGTTTCATTGGAATGAGGAGGTCTCACCTCTGCTTCAGTTCACAGAACTCAGACCAGCCCTGGCCTCCTGCAGACCTAAGGCTGTGGACTCTCCTGAGCACTTTCTTCATCTTTGTGCTCCCACATTTTGGTCCACTGAGCCCTGCAGTACTGAATCCTGCATGGGTCACCTGTTCCAGTATCAGCTCAAAATGCCCAAACCACCAGCCCGTGCATGAACCTCTGAACTGCAACACAGTG